TTTTCCTTAAAATTTTTTAAAATTTTATTTATAAAATTATTTATATATTTTTTCACCTTTAGCGACTTTTCCTCTTAATTTTATTATAGTTTAGTGTATTGAGTAAAGTCTAATGAAAAACTAACAATAACAATTAAATTTAGGTAAATTTCTTAAAAATAGAAATTTAAGGTAATGAATTATATCAACATTTTTTTTGTGATAATTTACTTTAATGTAACAATTTTGAGGGAAATTTGAAGGAAATTTGCACCTTTTACCAAAATTTTATTTCACATTAAACCTATGTAAATACTTAAATTGTTAGCACCATCTAGAGATTTGTTTTATCCAAAGAAATCTTAGAAACTGAAGCCTGAACTTGTGAGACACTAATAGCACATGAAAATTTCCTCTTGGATAGTAATTTACCAATATGCCAAGTGATACAATAAAAACCCAAACAACAAACAAACAATAATAGAAGGAAAAAAGAGAAGGGAAAACAAAATCTATAATTCATATTTTATAGTATGATTTGTATTCTTTTTTCTAGTAGTACATGTGTAAAATATTTTCCCCTTAATTATGATTTTGATAATTTTTTTAATACATCTAATAATAATAAGTTATATAAAAATAAATAACCTTTTTTTAATTTTTTTATCTGGTTTAAAATTTAAATTTAAAATTTTTAATTAAAAATATCAAAATTTTAAGGAATATGATTTTGATCATTTCCCAAAACTCAATAAATATTTTATTTCTCTATTTGAAAATTAAAATAATTAAAAAGTCCAGGGTCCACTGTAAACCCAAGCATTTAGCAAATTGGCAAAGGCATTGAAATCGGTGTAAAAAGCGCTAGACTCTCTTTCACTTCGGTAAAAACCTACTTTTACCCCATTTATCTTAATAAGTTTGTCGGTTTTAATCACTCACCTTATATCATGACACTTTTAGTTCATTATCTATATAAATTGAAAAAAATAACCCTTAATATTGAAATCAGTTTATAAATAGATATTTTTAAATATAATAATTAACTATTTAAAGAAAAAATTATAAACTAATAAAATTATACTTAAATTAGTTGTCT